TACACATATAATCAACGATTTAACTACGAAAAAGAATAGGTGATTAATAATTCATGGATAAGATTCCACCCTTTATTGCAATCACAATACAATTACGGTCACAGGAACATGCAGTGAAATAAAAAATTGAAATCAATTCAGCACGATATTCTGTGAGTTCATGAAGAAATATTTCAATAGATTCTTAAAAACACACGAAATATCAATTACTTATTTGAAATTTATTCAAATAACGATGATTTAACTACAAAAATTAAGAACAATTACATAATTTATGAATTAGATTAAACATTTTCTTGCCTAAAATTCAAATATAATTAAGGTTACCATATTGATGAGGGGGTATTCTTGCAATATTTCTTGCATCAAATAAAATTAAGGTTCTCATAATGATGAAGGGGTTTCCTTGCAAATTTAAAAAATATTAAAGTATGAATAAAGATGATGGGTGTAAGGACTAAGGAGGGAAGTGATATTGATTTCAAAAAAGGAGTAAAGACTTGTCGTCTACACTATTCGAACAGTGGCCAATGAATAATAAAGTACTAATGTACGAATAATAAAGTACTAAGAACCATCATCACAACCAGTTGGGCCACTTATCAGTTATGAATTACACTTGGTATTATAAACTATCTATAATCTTAGGGGGGCTGCCAGCAAGCTGGCTCCATCCCTGATTGTGGCAGACTATCTTGCTTTCATAGGGCTCCTCTGATCTAAAGGAGTACATACTTTTGATGAACCTGATAGTGCTCTTGCCTACCGGCTGTATCAACACATCCTCTAATAATATATAGTAAAGTTTTGTCTACTTTTCTCTATTTTAAATTCCTCCAACGGGAGTGAAAGTAGGAAGGGCATTTTTTTCTATACAATTAATTATTTATTCCATATAAAAATGTCAATATCAGGATTTGAACCCGGGTCTCTTCAAACAAAAACAACAATCACAACCAATTACACTAAACAAATTTTTTGCCTCTGCCTTTCAATTATTTTAGTTTTTGGAAACTTCACCCTCAGTATGACAGGCTGGTGAAAGAGGGTTGGCTCTGTCCTGCTACTGGTTATGCTATGGCTAGGCTGTATCAAAAGCTGCGAAGTACTAAAGTCCGTCTGAAGGGTCTTAACAGGGATTACTATTATGATATTCATGATAGAGTCTTAAATGCTAAGAAGGAACTTGCTCAGGCGCAACAAGAAGTGTTGGAGCGCCCTGCCTCCTTAGCTTTCCAGGCTGAGAAGAGGTGTATGGTCTAGCTTCTTGAGCTCCAAAGGGTCGAGGAGTCTTTTCTTAAGCAGAAGTCAAAACAACAGTAGATTAACATTGGGGATACTAACTCGCGGGTTTTCCACAGTATGATGAAAACAAGGCAGGCTAAGAATACTATAAAGCAGCTAGTTACAAAGGAAGGTCTTGTACTGGAGAACATAGAGGAGATTGGTCTAGAAGCAGTAAACTTTTACAAGAAGTTACTGGGTACTCAGGACTTAAATTTGAGCAGACTTTTGGTAGACACGATTAGGCAGTTGTTGAAGTTCCATTTGACTGATGGTGGAGAGGAATTATGCTCTGTGATCACAGGTGCTGAGGTGAAGAAAATGGTAATGGGAATGAAGAAGGGGAAAGCTCCTGGGCCTGATGGCTATCCAACAGAGTTCTTCCAAACTCACTGGGACCTGGTTGGTGACACTTTCACCAAGGCAGTTCAAGAATATTTCCACTCTGGCAAGATGAGAAAGGAGATTAACTGGACCATTTTATCCCTCATACCAAAGGTACCAAATGCTAATTCTATGAAGAACTTTAGACCTATCTCCTGTTGTAATTTTGTCTATAAGTGTATCTCTAAGATACTTGCTAATAGACTTCAAACAGTCATGCCACAGCTTATAAGCCCCAACCAATATGCTTTTATTAGAGGTTGGCTTATTATAGACAATATAGTGCTTGCACATGAAATGGTGAAATGGTATAACAAGAAGAATGTCTCTCCTAGGTGTGCTCTAAAAATAGTCATAATGAAAGCTTTTGATAGTGTTGATTGAGATTTTTTGCTCTGTACTTTGGCTGCCATGGGGATCCCAGAAAAGTTTGTGAATTGCGTGAAAGGTTTCTTAGACTCTGCTAGCTTCTCTGATTAATGGGGTTTAACAGGACTTTTTGAAGCTAGGAAGGGGCCGAGGCAGGGGTGTCCACTCTCCCCCTACCTGTTTACTATTAGTATGGAGGTTCTTAGTTGTATGCTCAATAGAGCAGCTGCTTGTGCCATCTTACCCTATCACCCTCAGTGCAGTAGAATCAGCTTAACACATCTGTGTTTTGCTGATGACCTCTTGATCTTCACCAAGGGGTATGTGGAAGGGGTTTCAGTAGTTGCAGAGGTACCTCATAAGTTCTATCTTGTGTCAGGTTTGAGATGTAATCCAAGTAAGATTGAGATTTTCAGTGCTGGGGTCTCCGAGAATCTGAAAGAGGAGTTAGTTTTGTGTTCTGGGTTTAAGGAAGGCAGACTGCCTGTTAGATACCTTGGTTTACCTCTAAATTCTGGGAAGCTCTCTTCTGAGGACTGTAAAAACCTGGTAGACAGAATTGCTGGGAGGATTATGGGTTGGCAGCCAAGACTCCTGACCTATGCAAGGAAGCTTGAACTCGTCATTTCAGTGCTAGCAAGCATGACTCAGTATTGGATGAATGTCATCCTCCTGACAAAGAAGGCGATCAAGCAAATAGAATCTCTTTGCTCACAATTTCTCTGGAGTGATTTTGAAAAAAAGAAAAGAGCCAAAGTTTCATTGAAGATAGTGGCTTTACCCAAAGTTGAAGGCGGTATGGGATTCAAGGATCTATGTTCTTGGAACAAAGCCTGCCTTACTCGTCAAATCTGGGGCATACTTTCGGATATGGACACACTTTGGCTAGCTTGGATTAAGGAGTATCGTCTTCGTAACTAGGGTTGGAAGTTTGGTACCGATATTTGGGATATACCGAATACCGTACCGAATTTGTCTATATTTGGTATTACCGAATACACGTATTATTTCTTGGGATTGAGATTGGGATTGAATTCCAATTGTTATTTGGTATTAGGGATTACGGGATTGGGATCGGGATATACCGAAATACCGATTAATACCGAAATATAAGTTAGTGAGTATTTTATCCTCTCCGCTAGACTCTCTCATTCACTACTACACGATTCTCAACCACCAAGAGTGTCATTTAATTATTCATAGATCATTCTATCACTATTTCACAACTTAGAAGCCACCATCCAACTCAAATTTGACTGTCCAATTTAAGTTACTCTCGTCTCTCACCTAATCTCGTGTAATTTTCATAACACCAAAATGCAAACACTAGTATTAGTTGTCTCATAACCTCCAATTCGTCAAATTAAAGATTAACAATGAAAAGAACTTGAGATGTCACCTCTCGTCTATTCTCCTTATCTATATCCTAGCTCTAGACAAACTCATAACTCTTTGTTTTGTCTCTTTGCGCTAAATTAAACAACAAAATCTAATTATATACTTAATTATTAATTGCTAAGGTAATTAATTTTGTTTTTGATAATAATGATTGGGATACTGAAGTACCGATTGGGATACCGATATATTTAGGGATTGGAATTGTGATACCGAAATTATTTAGGAATTGAGATTGATTTTAGGGTGTAATTCGGTATTCGGGATTTTGATATTTGGTATTGGGATACCGATACTGTACCGATTTCCACCCCTATTCGTAACTTGAATATCTGGGATGTGAAAACTCGTGGGTCCTGGGTGTGGAACAAAATTCTTAAACTGAGAGATGATGTAGCAGGGAAACCGTGTAGAACAAGCTAAGGAGTGGAGTGGGAAGGTGAGCAGATGGACAGATTCCAAATCAGCAAAGTTTGGCAGAGTTTTAGGCCGCGAGTTGATATACAGATATTGTAGGGTGGTCTAAATTGGTCGGGGAGGGAGGTGTTCCTAAGAATTCTACCATTACGTAGTTGATCCTCTTGGGACGAATTACTACTATGGATGTTGTGCAACGTTGGAATCCTGAAGTGACATCCTTTTGCCCTCTTTGTAGTCAGGAGTTAGAGTCTAAAAACCATCTCTTTTTTCAGTGTACCTATGTGCAGGAAGTGTGGAGCATTGTATTTCCCCTATCATGGCAGCTCCCGATTTCTATTGACTTGCAGTAGGCGGTGGTTCTAGCTACTCGACGTCTCAGCAAGTGCTTGGTGGGCAAACCCTCTGGTGTCTAGTCTTGAGCGAGGTTTGGCGAGAGAGATGCAGGAGAGTCTTTGGTGGGAAGCAGTTAACGGTGGCAGAACTTGTCAAAAGGATGCAGGGAGTGATGGAAGCTAAAGAAGCAAGAAACTCAAGGTTTGCTGACTCGGTTGTGCTCCACTCATTGTGGTACAAAAGTGTAGCCTTGTTCGTAGTATAGTGCGGAGTTTTTGTAGCAGTTGTACTGGTCGATTTTTGTACAGATCGTATTTGATGAATAAAGATTCCACCCATTCATCGAAAAAAACATACACAAAGTGACACTCTGAAAATCAGAGGACTTTTTCATCATGATTAGCAAGCCCACTAAGTCTACCGTATGTATTTTTATGGTGCTTGATACTGCAATTTTCATATCGTAGTTTGATGTAGTTTCTCAATTCTAAAATCACTGCTCTCTCCTTAATTTTCGCCAAAGGTGAATTGGTAATTAGCTAACATGAAATAAACTAATTCTATTATTACGTGTTTTGTCCTTGAATATTTCAATTTATATTTAAATTTGTACTTTTTTATCTTTGTTCTTATCTCTTTCTAACTTCCTAAGAAATTCCCTCCATCATGCAATAGTTTGCGCCCCTTTCAGTTCACAGTACAAGGTCGCCTTTGAAAATCAATCTTTTGGTCTCTTGGCAGTTGGCACTACGATTTTTTTCTTGGGATTTAAAACTGGGCAAGTAAAAAATTTCAACTCCGATATCAATCCATAACGAATAGAATGGAGTTCAATATATGGAGGTGCTGAAGGAGTATTAAAAATTAAATTTTTGGTTGAAACATACGCCTGTTGAGATTGAAGATAAAGGGGATAAAATTTTTATTGTACAACAGAGAGTGGTGGCTATTGGATCTTTAGGTTTATATTTTTTGAAGCTATCGCAACCTAATTCTATCTTAAAATGAGGAATCATCAATTGATTTACTGAAGTAGGTCGGTCGATTATTTATTCAACCTACTGGAAGTGATAGAGAGGGAGTGTCTAATTTTGCTCCTTATTACTTTGATCGAATCTATTAGTATATTGGAAGTAACCCTAATTTTATCGTTTGCTCTCAAATTTTGATGGTCCCCTCTTAGCTGAGTTGTTAGCATATAGTTGACTGGAATCAACATCTCTTCATTTCGTTTTGATAAGTGGCATATTGTTCCTAAAATGAGAGCATTGAACCTTTATGTGGGATTGCGAGGTTTAAGATTTAGTTAGGGAATTTCAGTGAGCTTTTATACTCTTATCTTTCTTGACAATCAACTAACCAATTGCATTTACTGGGGACTTAATTATAATTTTGAATCGCCTGGATAACAAACTTGCAGGATGGAAGACCAAAACGCTTACCCTGGCGGGGCGAGTGACTCTGGCAACATCGGTGCTCAGCTCTTTGCCCACCTACGCAATGCAAACAACGTTGCTGCCAATAGCAATCTGTGACGAAATTGACAAGCGTGTCCGGAGATTTATTTGGGGTCCACTGTCGAAGCCCGTAAGATTCATCTCGTCCACTAGGAGGGCATCTCCAAACCCAAGGAGGAGGGAGGTTTGGGGCTCAGGAAAGCGCATGAGTTGAATCTCGCTTTTCTAATGAAACTTTATTGGGTTTTTGTTAAAAAACCAAATGAGCTGTGGGTTCAAGTGTTGCAGGCTAAATACTTTAAGTAGGTTGGTGGCGCATTACAGGCAAAGTCAATGGCGCGAGCTTCTAATCTCTGGCATGGCATCAGGAAGGTGTGGCCGATTATGTCCTTGGGCATGCGTATGAGTATCAAGGACGGGCGTGACACTAGTTTCTGGACGGACAGATGGGTAGATTTGGGGGAGATGCTCATTGATCACGCACTGGATGCAAGTTCCCCACCTAATCCCACCCTTCCGGTGGCGCAGTTCACAACTCCTGATGGTGAGTGGAATATCCCACATTTGCGTTCACATCAGCTCGAAGAGCTTGTTTTGCAGGTAATGGGCGTGCAAACCCCGAAGGAAGGGTACGACGCTGACATTCCAATCTGGGGCTCGGAGCGAGACGAACGATTTCGGGTAAAGTCTGCGTACCAGCTCCTTACCGAAGGAGAAGAGGCTCATAACACCTTTGACTGGCGATCCATTTGGAGATGGAGAGGACCTGCACGGATCACCCATTTCCTTTGGTTAGCAGCGAGGGAGAGGCTCCTCACCAACGGCGAACGAAATCGGCGACATCTCTCCACCACGAACATATGCCCGCAGTGTAAAGCGGCCCCAGAAACAATCTTGGATGTGTTGCGAGATTGTGAATTTTCCAGGTTACCTTGGATGCAGTTCATACAGCCTTCTGGCCACCAGCGGTTTTTCAGATCCCACCTGCAGGATTGGATCATTCACCATGTCCGACAGGAAAAAACTAGCCTTGATTTTGGCATTTTTTGCTGGTCCCTTTGGCAGATTAGGAATGATCGAGTCTTCGCAGGCAAGATCACGACCACTGCGGCCTTCATATAGCACGTCCGGGCATGGATAAATGTCGTGCAGAATGCCTTAGACAAAGACAGGCTCATTCACTAGCCTCGTCTGCCCATGAAAACGGAGGTGGAGATCTATTGGAAGCCGCCACCTCCCGAGTGGGTCACTCTCAACTCTGACGGCTCCATTCATACTGACTCAGGTCATGCTTCGGCCGGTGGCCTGATTCGAGATCATACTGGACGCTGCCTTGCAGCGTACGCGATTAACCTGGGGAGTTGCTCTATCACCTGGGCTGAGTTGAGAGGCGCGGTAGAAGGGTTGTAGTTGGCTTGGGACACGACCATCGACGTGTCTGGGTGGAGCTGGATTCTCTTTGTGCGGTCCAGCTACTTCAGAGTTTGGACGCACGAGACCACCAGCAGACGACCATTATCCAGAGATTCCAAGAGTTGCTCACCCGTCAATGGGAATTTGTTGTTTCCCATGTTTTTAGAGAGGGGAATAAGTGTGTTGACCATCTTGCTAGCCGTGGGCATTTGTTGCCACTAGGTTACCATTCCATTTCCTGTTCTGACCCTGCAATGCTTAACTACATTATGTACGATTGCCAGGGGCTTCTGAACCCCGTTTGGTTTTGAATGAAGGCTGAGATGCACAACCTCCATTTATAAATTTTATTTTATCATTTTGAAAATGAGATCAATGATACATTTTTATATTTCTCCAAATGTTCGATCTATATATTCTTTCTTTATGTGTCTCGATCGAAGGATTGTCAATAAAATTAAACGGGTTGATAGATTTAAACGTAACATGAAAATATAAATGATCAAATATCAATATTCCAGCCAACAGGTCGGGTTATAAGCTAGTATTATTAAAGGTGAAAGCCAAAACCCGTTGCTCCATTTCAAATTCCGTGCATCGAGAGTGAAAGTATGAAGGACATTTTTGTCTTCACAACTACTTATTTCTTTTCTATTTATTCAAAAAAAAAATATACATAAGGGGATTTGAATCATGACCACTTTTAAGAGAGGGAATGGATACAATACAACCAATCGCGCTACATATATTTGTTGTATCTTTTAAAATAAAAACATACACAAACCTAAAATCTCAAAAATCAGAAGACCTTTTCAGCAGTTAGCTAGCAACTAAATCTCTCATAAGTATTTATTTGGTGATTTGATACTTTGACTTTCATATTTTTTATTATTTTAATTGTATTTTAATACTTAATTTATATTTCAATGTATATTATAAACAGAGGATAACTTTAAAATTGCAACCCATATATCACTTGGTTGAATATTGCATATAAAATTAGAGCATTAAATAGGTCGAAGCAATGTTAAAATTTTAAATTAGTATTAATTTTTAGAATTAACAATGAAGAAATCATTTCCTTATGCAGACTATATGGGACTGTGTCTTTTAACGTTTTAGCCGGGTTAACTGCTAAGCTTTCAACATGTTCCTAATCTGGCATGATTAGATCCAATGATCATTGTACGAGATTGAACTTAATTATTGTATCATTTCACCATTTTTTGACATGTTAATGAATTTCAAGGGCAATGACATATGTCTACATCTAAACACAATACAATATATAAGACTGGAATGAGAAAAGTATTTTCCCATTTCAAATTCCTACAACAAGAGCGAAAGTATGAATGATATATTTGCCTTCACAATTATTAAACTTATTTATTTGTAGAAAATAAACAAGTATTGGAATTTGACCAATGTATCTTCCAAAAAATACAAGAATCATAAGCCTAATTGTCAATCCAAGTTTGACATGGTTGGGCGAATCAGTTTTGCCCAAACCCGAGTATTTGTTAGGACATTGGAGGCCCAGTTGGTTATCAAACCAAACTTGGCCAAACTAAGAAAAGCAGTTGAATTAGGAAATCGAGTTGATTCAACTAACTCATCTAAGCACTGAGTCACTTCAAACCGACATCATTTTCAACAAATCTAATCACTAGCTCTTTCACATGTCGTCCTTTTCCTTTTCAAAGACCCATGCATCAACATACATCAACCACCCGTATTCGGTTATCCCATAATATATTTTCCTCCTTTAGTATCGGCAGGCAACAATACAAGTCTCAATCATCTCAAAAGCCAACACAGTTCCTTAGTAGTCAATTCCATTTTCCTTCCAGCAGCAAGGTCACATCGCCAATCAACCACATCTCAAACAAAGAATAAGCCACAAGATTAGACGAACATATATTTGGATTGAGACTTGGTGTGATTAACAAAGACCAATGTCCTCATTTGTATATATACATGAACTCGAATTGGATAAATATCTAAGCATAATACATGTGAAATCAATAAAATTTTCTTGCACCTGGGTAAAGCTAGGCTTAACCAAGTTAATCTAATTCATCCATTAATCCTTAACCCACTTGCTTAAACGACTCATTGGTGGAATCGAGTGACAACCTTGGTCATAACAAATTAGACTGAACAAATTTGTTGTATATTTTTTAATAATTTATAGGTATAATATACTCCTTTATTTTATATATATATATATATATATGGGCAGTTCTAGGGTGTCCGGGGCAAAATCCGGGGTATAGGTAACCGGGGGCAAGGAAAATTACAAAAAGCATCACGAAGCGTTTAAGCTTTTTTCATTGGACTTCAACCTAATTGTACCCGGTTTAATTATATCGATTAAGAGGTTAAACCCTATGGATACGACCCGTCGTCCTAACCAATTTCCAGTCCCTCATTCGTCTTGGAGGGGACGTCCCCTCTTAGTTCGAAGTTCGAACATCATCCTTTTATCATCGTTTCTGGAATATGAAATCCTTTTATCATTTGATCCACATTCGATTTAGCTCCCTATCCAATATCAAATCCCCAACATCATCATGTTTTGAACCCCAAATCTATGTATCCACGTTCGAAGAGAAGATCCCTTTTCAATCTAAAATCCCCACATAATCATCGTTTTGAACCACAAATCCTTGTATCCACAATCGACGTTTTGTTCTTCGCCATTTTATTTCCGACCGGAATTTACACACCTATCTCTTTCTAACACGATTACGGCGACCATGTCTATTATTGTGTTCATCAAACTTTTAATTTTGCTAACCCTAGGGTTCATGTCGCCAGTGTTTTGTCATCATGTGTTAGCGTTATTGGAACTCCTTACAACAAATTGAAGATGAAATAAGCAACACAGTCTTCGACCTAATTGAGGAAGAAGATGAAGAAGACAAAATTAGATTCGAATCGGATGGAGAGGTCGCCTTAACTTGTGTTTATGTATTAACGGTGCGTTTAGGACAAAGTCTAGTTGGGCTTTTAAATTCCCTTCAAAAGTGAGCTTCTGTACATGATCCGGATTGTGAAGAGGTTGGGCTTTTATTTACATCTGCTTATGCTTCTGCTTTTGATTCTAAATCCTGATCATGTCTTGCGTTCACGCAATTTAAACACAGTTATGTGTTCCATCTTTTTTTTGGGATTCGGTAAATGGTAGCGTGTCTCTTTACACATTTATCGGTACGAGGTAAAAAACAATCCGCCCAATTTAACTCTTTATTAATTGCCCCTATTCCACTCTCTCACTGTTTGCCCCTCTTGACGTAACAAACCTCTTGTAGACTAATTAGAGGCTTGTGGTTGGATACTTAGTGAGGACATTTTTTAAATTTATGTTTTGAAACGAAAGTTAGAATTTCACTTTTGAAGTACCTGTGTACTTTACTTGGGCAAGTATTTTCAAAATGTAAAATTTTATCAACGTATAGGTATGCGATTATTGTATAAGATGTTTATGGTTAAGTTAATGATTACTGACTAGTTAGTGTATTAGGTTGTTGATGGTTTAGAGTATATGGTACATGGGTAGGTTATAAGGTGTTGAATTGTTGATGGTCTAGAGCATATTGTATTGATTGGTTCGGCTGAGGGTAGGTGTTGTTTTATTTTTCTCGATTTTATATTTTCTTAACATCTTCTTATAAATGCTGATCATGCCTTATTATCAGGAAATTTAGACATAATTATTGTAGCGTGTCTCTTTACACATTTATCGGTACGAGATAAAATGATTTGGTGTGTGCAAAGTAGGTTCTCATTAACGATTTTGCCATGTTGGTTATCCCGGCCATTAGCGATTCGCCACATATGGAATCAAAATTAGTTAGAGTTCTTAACTTCATCTTTCATCATTTATTCTTTGACTTGAACCAACATGTCTTTGCTCCGAAGGATTTTGGGTGGTAGCGGCGTGCTAAAGGCAATCCGTCCAATTTAACTCTTCGTTAATTCCCCCTTTTCTTTTCTTTTTTGGTAGAATAATTACCCCTTTTCCACTCTCTCAGTCCCCGACGAAGTTGAAACAATCCCCTGTGATATGTTTATCATTCATTTTAACCCTTCACTTAATAAGAAAGCGAAATTATGCAAGATGGTCATCAATGTGATGTAGCTTAATTGGTTAATTGTCCTTTATTTGCTTAGTCAATAAAGTAGAGGTTTGTGGTTCGATACTTAGCGAGTATCAATTTTTAATTTATGTTTTGAAAAGCAAGTTATAATTTCAATTTTGAAGTACCTATGTAATCTATTTGGGAAAAAAATTTATCAGCGTATAGGTATACGATATTGTATAAGGTGTTGATGGTTTAGAGTACATGGTATTGGGTTAGTGTATTGATCATCTCCATCCCTAAAATACGATATTGTATAAGGTGTTGATGGTTTAGAGTATATGATATTGGGTTAGTGTATTGATCATCTTCATCCCTAAAATTGAACAACAATTTCTAAACGAGGTCCCTACCGCCACATCATCAATTTTAGCAATTCATCACTTATCAATTTCTATTCATCTACATCCCTAAATTATGCTTGCAATTGCCAAGGTGGGTTCCATTTAATATTTCAAAGGAAACACTTATTATAAATTGAAAGTTGGGGATGGAGATAGAAGAAGGTGTTGTTGGTATACAGTATAAGGTCTTGAAGGTTATGGTATAAGGGAGGTAGCAAGGTGTTGATGGTTTAAAGTATATATGTTATTGATTGGTTACGGTATAAGCCTATAAGGTGTTGTTATTGTTGTAGAGTATATGGTATTGATTGGTTCGTGTATTAGGGTTTGGTTTAGGGTTTAGGGTATAGGGTTTAGGTTATAGGGTTTAGAGTTATGATTCAAGTTAGAATAACATAAACCAGATCAATAGAGTAATGTTGGTAAACGAAAAAGTTAGTTAATCTACAAAGTCAGACTATTTATAAAAGCACATCCCCATTTTCCACCATCAATTCCTAAACTTTTCCCTTAATCCGATGGTGAAATACCTTCGATCCTTGTCGCGTGCGTGTCACCCAATCAGATATTGCCGAATTCGGAAAGTCGCTTTTGCCCATAACCAATGTTGGCGTTACCAAGGCCGAGGCAGTGGTAGGGAGTGTAATTTTCAGTAAATGTGAAGGGAGGGAAAGTAAAATTAATTACGAGTCAATCTATAAATTTGTTAATCAATGAAGGAGAGACCATGCTCCGAAACCTGAGTGGCACTCATCTCCTGCTACTGTTCGTTCCTCCTCTCAATCCCTGAAAAGAACCCTTTCTTCCATCTTCTCAATATGAAACTCCGAAAATCAACCCCATCCGCCTCTTCGTCCTCCTGTCCCATGCTTTATTTTCGGGTGCAGTGGTAATGATGAGACTGCGTATTATTTTAGATCTCAGTTCCTTTCATTATGTCATTGTTAGATCATAACTTTTAAACTAAATCCTTCGTTTTATTGTTGCTCCTTTTCTCTCCATGCAGGGTCTTTGTCAGAGGCAGGGAGGGGAGCAATGACAATAAGTCGCCGTCTGAATATTGCCGAAAGAATCATCATATGTTGTTACGATTCCATAATAGGTGTTGTGGAACCCTACTTCATATGGTGATTCTTTTGGGCAACATTGACGCGTACATGTTGATCATGCTCCCAAAATGTATACAAGAGGGGAAAGTTGCCATATGTATAATAGGATAAAATAGGGAGGGAAAGTACAACTTTTTGTTTTTTTCAAAAATTGTACTTTTAGTGTTTGAGATCTTCTAAATCTGTGAGGGATCCTCCACTCCTAATAAAAATACTGTACTTTATACTTTTAGTGTTTGAGATCTTCTAAATCTGCGAGGGATCCTCCACTCCCAATAAAAATACTGTACTTTATTTGTTGACTACTGACTCCATTTTTAGAAGTCTTTACGATTGGGCCAACCGGATTTTTTGCCGGATTTCGAACTCTGCTCCTCTGTCGCCACATGCTCTAGCCATTTAATGAGTGCTCAAAATTAGTGCAAAAAATACGATATAATAATTGAATAAAAAAAACTAGTTCTCAAAATTATTCAACTGAAATGTTGCACATGATTTATTTAGAGTGCTTAAAATTTGCCTTCAACTGACCATTAATGAGTGCATAAATTAAACGACACCGCAAGAGGCAACAGTCTTCTTATATACCAAACGACTCGGCATAGGAGGACTTCCAGTTTCAGTTCAAGTTTCCAACACCGATCAAATAGGTGGTCCC